CGACAAATCGATAGAAGCCTGCATATCGTAACCCTCACATAAGGATGCTGCTTGCTTTTGCACGGTATCTTCCTTTACCTTAAGATATAAAAAAAAATACGGCGCTGACTCAGGTTTCCTAAGGATCAAATCGTCTCTTCCTGTTTCCAACAAGGCAACCCAACAGAACGTAGAAGAACCTTTGCTTGAATTGACTTTCAGAATTTGAATCCATTCACTCTGGATGTAGCTCGTCAAAACCGTGTTCTCCTGTTTTTCACCCTTTTTCTTGGAACTTTTCTAAGGAATTAACATTTTCAGCTACTATTCTTCATTCTTGTAGAATCAATGAGCACTGATTTTGCAAAACTTAAGACCTTAAAATAAAATCTAGCTTCTACATCAACTGTAGCATCTCCGCCTTGTAAAAAATGTTACTGCAATAATTATCGATAATTATAGTTAATTGAGTTCAGAGTTTTTAGCCAAAAAATCAGGGACCAACAATAACTGTTATCTCGAAATTACAAATTGAAAAGTTTGCCCGAATTCTGAAATTTAACGAAAACGTTGTTTCATAACAGTTATTAGATGAAAAATATTTTTTATTTCGCCAATAAGAGTTATAACCAAAGTTTTATTTTTTACATTGTTTGATTACAGTTATTGCCCAACATTTATTTCTTACGTTGTCTGATAAATAAACGTTGTAAGATAAAGAGTTAAGAAAAAGTCCTATTTTGGTCCCGAAAAAATTAAATCAAATATATGTTTAGTTTCTAATCTAAGCCATTTATGCATCTAACTGAATCGCCTAACGCTTAGCCACAAATAAATAAATTTCATGAGTACCTGACACTCACGTCTTTTCATATTGAAGATAAGAACAAATTTACACTTTAACTCTTCAGGGGCGCACCCAGGAATATATTTTAGGGGGGGTTCTATATTTCTGAAGATATATCACCAGAAAATACTGAATATTTGCTTCAGATAATACCCTCTTTCAAATACATTTATGCAAGTTTTATGTACAGTATGTAATAAATAAATAAACGTTTTAAAATTCATAAACTGCACTTTATTTACAGATTAACAGAACTCAAGCGGTTTTAACCGACTTCAAAAAAAGGGAGGTTATCATCTCGCCGGAATACATAACTTTGGACCACGTGAACCGTTTTCAATAATCCTTTTTTTATTAGAAAGATAGTACCTCAAGGTCGTCCCGTAATTTGTTTTAGAGATCCGATGATTGGATCATGAAGAAATTAACGGTACCCCTAAATTTGAATATGAGAATTGAAGTCGGTTGTGTTCTTTCCTTAAAAACTACTTGTTTAATAAAAAGTTCTATAAACTCAAGATGCGCTCAACTTTCAAAAGTACCTAATAAAAAATTTTAAAAAAGAGTCAGTAAAAATAAATTTATTGATTCCATGAATTTTTGCACTTCTATGTTCATTTCTTCGATTTCTGGTTTTCGATAGAGATAGTGATTTTTAACGATTGCTAAATTTTTTTAATATTTCAAATACCGAAAAAATTAATTGAACTCTCAAGAATAACGAAAAATTCATATAAAACGACGGACGAGAAATGGAAAAGAAATTTTCTTCTACCAAAATTTCTTAAATCAGTTTGCAGCTCTCAAGAAAAAAAATGCTCGTATATTTATTCCCTCATGAAAATTTACAGCAAAAGCAAAGCGCTTTTTTAAGCAACAGAAATTAAAAAAAATATTTCTTATAATTTCCTTGAGAGCTGGATTCTTAGCTTTAAGATACAGATTGTATTTGAGGTTATTAGCTTTAGGGGGGGGTTTGAACCCCAAAACCCACCCCTTGTGTGGGCTAATGTAACTCTTTCATTTTCTTCATTGGTTTATCATATTTGCATTTTTGAAATTTGATTTCTTGTTTTTTTTTCAATTTTATTCATCGTCCGGGCCCCTGACAATCAGGCAGCCACTCTCGACGGGCCTGTATAAGTACATCAGTAAGAATATGTGGCATGCTTGCTTATGCAAATACAAAATAAGTGTATATTAACACACTACACACACACAAACATATGTACATATTCATTAGGGTGCGGCACCAAACAAAAAAAGTTGCGGCTTTTCCACCGAGAGTATGAAATTTATTTTATTTTAAGACTTCTGCCCAACTATTTTTTGTAAAATATTAAGATTTATATCTCAAAAAATCTCAGTATGTATTTTGGTTCAATTGATGAAATTTTTAAAAATTTGTATGCAGACCTTCTAAGCTTGAACTCTTTTATAACCTGAGTTGATTTTAGGAAACAAATTTGTTTAAAAACAATTTTATTTATAAAAAAGTAATTTTTAAGCAAAAAACAAAACCGACTTCGATTGTCGTATAAAAATTTAAAACCAAATTAGTATGGAACCACCTATTTCCTTAAAAAAAAAGAACTATAGAAATCGGTTAACGTTGTCCAAAGTTATGCGGTAACATACATACAAAAAATATTCCGACGAATTGATAAGCTCTTCCTTTTTTTGAAGTCGGTTAAAAACTAAATTTTTGGCGGTATTTTAAAATAGGTTCAGCTCACGTAAATCCTAATATTTTACCGAAATATTACGGCAGAAGTCTCAAAATATAATAGATTTTGTAATTTCGATGGAAAAACCGTACCAAGTTTTTTTTTTTGTGTATGGAGAGTGATGCAGCTTAATGTGCATACAAAAATACATACATATTTAAGCTTACGTGTGTGAATATGCAGGCAATCAAGCGTGAATAGAAGGCGCGCGCGCGCTCTCTCAAACTTGCTGCTTTTCACGCTCATCCTTGCTTGGTGGCTTTTCCGCTTTGCCGTGCCGTGCCGTGGCGTAGAGTGGCTCAATTTGGTGTCCGCTGGGAATAATCTGAGTGAATGTAGTAGCGCGCAGTCAAGGCGAAAACAAAAAAAAAAGCAACAAAATTTTGGAAATCTCAATCGAAGTGCGCCACTTTTTCTGTTGTTCTTGTTGTTTTTTTTTTGTTTTTTTTGTTGCTTAAATCGCGCTTGTCGAAATTGTTGAAATTTTTACTGCTCTTTTCTTTTATTTGGCCATATGTTTTGCATTATTTTTCCTGTTCGTTTAAAGCACAGGAAGCGCGCACTTGTTTAACTTGTCTATGTGTTAAAATGGCTCGTTGAAATTTTACTAATTTTTACTAACAAACATATAAAGTTTTTAATGATATGGGTCTGCTAATTTGTTTAGGTGCGAGTTTATGTATAAAATATGTACGTATACACATGTAAGTATGTATGTAGATATTAATGTTTTGTTATTAAACTAAATTGAGCGTAGCTGGGTAATTGGTATGCGAAAATGTTAGCTAGAGCTTTCTAAAAATCATGGCAGAGAGAATAAAGTTTTGTATTTCCGTTAGTTGTGAATTTTAACTCTCGCTTCCAACTATAATTAATTTATACAAATATTTTCAGAATTTAAAATTGCATAAGCGCTAGTATTAAAATTATTATTATTATTAAAATATGAAATTAATTTGTTTAACACCAAGTTTTCGATTATGATATTCTCTTTGGCCTTGAGGGAGCCGTGATATGCAATTATTTTATTAAAAGAACTAATAATCACACAAAAATATTTAATTTGTTGTCCGTGTGATTTAGAGGTTAATAATAATAATATTTAATAATCACCCCTATTGCGAGTGTCGACTGGCAGTAGAATAGAAATTTGTCGATTGAGTCGATCATTATTTTGCTATTGTGTAACTTGATCGATAAAAATTTGTACTATTGTGAATGGTTGACCAAATTGTAAACAGCTGTTTGTTTGTTTACATTTGTTTCTTTAGTGTTTCATTTATATCATTTTTAAAACAATTGCTTTATTATAAAATTAAAAAAATGGATACAGTTGAAATATGGTTTAGTGATGAGGAAGATGATGTGGAAGGCAATAGATTAGTAGAGTTGGCTAAAGCAAGAAGGAAATTGCGAAATTCGTCGAATCCCTTGGAGTTGGAAGATGAAGTGTATGTACATACATACATATGTGAATTTTATGAATAGCAGTTGCGTTCCAGATGCTTCACGATTTGCAGGAAAAGCTGTTTTCGCCACTAATAAACCTTATGGAAGGTGGCCCTGTGGAACAACTTCCTGTAAAAACCCGCAAATCGTGAAGCATCCGGAACGCAACTAGTTTAAGCAATTCGGTACAGTTAAGTTATTTGTACAATGATTTTGGGTATTTGTGTCCAAACGCGTGACCCGATTTAAAAACTAACATACGCGTGTAGTGAAAGAATTAAACTTTAATTTAAAATAAAGATTTCAAATTCCTGAGTACTAGTATATTAATAAATTATGCAGTTTTTCGTAAATTTTGATGTTAGTTCTGCGCAAAAACACTGTGGATGGCGTAGCCGGAGTTATATGCACAAGAAATGTTGAATATCTTTCACAATAGAAGCGGAGCTTCCGCCCCTCTTCTCTGGGAAGACAGAAAGGAGAATTCTACTTATTAAAGGTTATAATCCGTAAACGCCTAAGCAGAAAGAAGTTGTGCGCAAAAATACTGTGGTCAGTGAGATTACATTGTCTATGTCGAAGTGCTAATTTTACCCCATTTTGAAATGGGCCCGGGGTCTGTAGAAGGGTCAGAGAGGGGAAGGATGACTTGTCTTATAGTTTGGATTGTGCTCTTTCTAATGGATGGGGTTTTAGGTGCCACACCCCTTCCCCTTCGCTGCACGCCACAAAATTTCCCAAGAAATTTACTAAACAACCAACTTTACAGGTTTTTGAAAAATTATCGTTTGCCGAAAGCTGCATTTACATATTTGCTTGAAACATTGGAAAGCAAACTACAAGCTGGTGTAAGAAAAACCTCGATACCCCTAATTTTAAAACTAGCAGCGACTTTAAGATTCTGTGCTCAGGGATCCTACCAACTGAGTGTAGGAAACGATAGTAATATTGGACTTGGCCAATCTACTGTTTCCCTGGTTTTGACAGAAATATTTCATGCTTTGGAAGAGCACGTGTGTAAAAATTGGATAAAAATGAATTACACTGATGAAGAGAAACGAAAGGCGAAAATGTATTTTTTTGAGAAAAGTGGAATTCCAGGCGTAATAGGTTGCATTGATGGGACACATATTAAAATCGTTGCCCCAAAAAAGGATCTTCAACACCTTTACTATAACCGAAAAGGGTACTTTAGCTTAAACGCGATGATAGTAAGTATTTAGGTAAAATATTAAATGAAAGTATTATTTAAATATGTTCATTTACAGGTCTGTGATAACGCTCTGAGGATTCGTTACATCAATGCAAGATATCCTGGGGCAACGCACGATGCTACGGTTTTCAATATGTCTTCTTTAAAACCCCAATTAGAAGATGACTACCACAGGGGTGAAAGAAATTTATTATTACCCCGATGACGGATCAGTGCAGGGTATATTTAACAAAAGGCATGCAAAAGCTAGGAATATTGTGGAACGCACGATTGGGGTGTTGAAAAATCGGTTTAGGTGTTTGTTAGGTGCTCGTGCGCTGCACTATGAGCCAAAGAAAGCCACCCAAATAATAAACGTTTACGTAGCACTGCACAATATATACATTTTTACAATGTTGAGTCTTCGAATGAAGAAATTTATGATAGCCAAGACCCAGAAAACTATGAAGATTAAGGTGACATCAATGTTCAAGCTGCCCATATAAATCAAGAAGCCGTAGAAATAAGAAATAACATTTTACAACATATGCGACTTCAGTCTTAAATCTTTTTTTTATTGTTTGTACGTATTCATTGAAGCTCAGTTTTTTTAAGTTTTATTAATTTGTTATAATTCAGGTAATTCAAGTTTAAATTAAAATTAATGTAACATAAAATGTTAAAAATTGAATATTGATAAATACCTACTACGTAAAGAATAATCGTAAACATGAACAAAAAATCTTCATTTTCAACTAAATTTGGCCATTGTTAAAAAAATAGCCTCATGTGTACAAATTAACAGGGTCGCGACATTTTGACAAGTTTTGACTATTTCTTTTGTTTGTTTAATGTTAATTAACTTTTTATAAAAGTATAGTATATATGTAACAAAAACTATATAAATCCTAATATCAGACTTTGTGAAAAAATTATAAAAACTGCAGTTTCACCGAAATTTCAAACTTTATCAGAAATAAAAATAGTATTTAAATTATTTTTTGTAGCCCATTAAATTTTAATATAATAACGTGCAAGTTAAAACTTAAAAATTGCCGTTTATTATACTAAGATTTAATGGGCTACAAAAATTAATTCAAATACTTTTTTTATTTCTGATAAAGTTTGAAATTTCGATGTAACTGCAGTTTTTATAATTTTTGCACAAAGTCCAAAATTAGGATTTATATAGTTTTTGTTACATATATACTATAATTTTATAAAAAGTTAATAAACATTAAACAAACAAAAGAAATAGTCAAAACTTGTCAAAATGTCGCGACCCTATTAATTCGTTTGACACCATTCTTCTTCTTCTTATTTGGCGCTGTAACCGCCTAAGCGATTTTGGCCGAGTCCAAAACAGCACGCCAGTCATTTCTCTTCTGTGCTAACTGACGCCAATTTAAAATGCCAAGTGAAGCCAAGTCCTTCTCCACCTGGTCTTTCCAACGCAGAGGAGGCCTTCCTCTTCCTCTGTTACCAGCATCGCGGCCCGCGTTGAATATTTTCAGAGCAGGAGCGTTTCTGTCCATCCGAACGACATGGCCAAGCCAGCGGAGCCGCTGAATTTTAATTCGCTGCACTATGTCTATATCGTTGTAAAGCTCATACAGCTCATCGTTAAATCGTCTGCGATATTCGCCATCACCAACGCGTAAAGGTCCGTAAATCTTTCGCAGAATCTTTCTCTCGAAAACTCCAAGAGCCGCCTTATCAGATGCTTTCATTGTCCATGCTTCCGCGCCATATACCAGCACAGGCATGATGAGTGACTTATAGAGTGTGATCTTTGTACGACGAGAGAGGACTTTACTTCTCAATTGCCTACTCAGCCCAAAGTAGCACTTGTTGGCAAGAGTGATTCTCCGTTGGATTTCAAGGCTGACATTATTATTGGTGTTAATGCTGGTTCCCAAATAAACGAAGTCGTCTACTTTTTCAAACTTGTAACTGTCAACAGTGACGTGGGTGCCAAGACGCGTATGCTCTGACTGTTTGTGTGCTGACAGGAGATACTTCGTTTTGTCCTCGTTCACCACCAGACCCATTCGCTTTGCTTCTCTATCCAATCCCGAGAAGGCAGAACAGACGTAGCCCTTGTTTTTACCGATAATATCGATGTCGTCGGCATACGCCAGCAATTGTACGCTCTTATAAAGTATTGTGCCTGAGCGGTTCAGTTCTGCGGCTCTTATTATCTTCTCCAACATAAGATTAAAGAAATCACACGAAAGAGAGTCCCCTTGTCTGAAACCTCGTTTGGTATCAAACGGCTCGGAAAGGTCCTTCCCTATTCTGACGGAGCTGGTGGTATTGCTCAACGTCATTTTACACAGCCGTATTAGTTTCGCGGGGATACCAAATTCAGACATCGCGGCATAAAGGCAACTTCTCTTCGTGCTGTCGAAAGCGGCTTTGAAATCGACAAATAGATGGTGTGTGTCGATCCTATTCTCCCGGGTCTTTTCCAAGATTTGGCGTATTGTGAATACCTGATCTATGGTGGATTTTCCAGGCCTAAAGCCACACTGATAAGGTCCAATCAGCTCGTTGACGGTGGGCTTCAGTCTTTCGCACAATACGCTCGATAAGACCTTGTAACCTATGCTTAGAAGGCTAATTCCGCGGTAGTTGGCGCGTATGGCGGGGTCGCCTTTCTTGTGGATTGGGCAGAGCACACTTAAATTCCAGTCGTCAGGCATGCGTTCATCTGACCATATTCTGCATACGAGCTGATGCATGCACCTCATCAGCTCCTCGCCGCCGTACTTGAATAGCTCGGCTGGCAGGCCGTCAGCTCCAGCAGCTTTGTTGTTTTACAGCCGCGTAATCGCTATTCGTACCTCGTCATAGTCAGGCGGTGGGACAGCTACTCCATCATCATCGACTGGGGACTCGGGTTCGTCTTCCTCACTCCTTTCAGCGCTGCTACCATTCAGTAGGTTATAAAAGTGTTCCCTCCACAATTTAAGTATATTCTGGACATCGGTCACTAGGTCGCCATTGTTGTTCTTACAGGAGTTCGCCTCGGTCTTGAAACCTTCCGTAAGTCGCCTAACCCTCTGGTAGAATTTTCGGGCGTTCTTCCTGTCGGCCAGCATCTCAAGCTCTTCGCACTCACGTATTTCGGCCTCTCTCTTCTTATTGCGGCAAATACGTCTCGCTTCCTTCTTCAGTTCCCTATAACGGTCCCACATGGCTCGCGTTGCGCCCGATCGCAGCGTGGCCCTGTAGGCGGCATCTTTTTTCTCTGCGGCTTCTTGACATTCCTCATCGTACCAGTTGTTCTTTCGGGCTCGCTGAAATCCAACTACTTCTTCGGCGGCGGTACTTAATGATCGGGAAATGTGGTTCCACTGCTCGCGTACGTCGTATTGTTGAAGAGTGCTCTCAGAGAGCAGGTGTGTGAGTCGAGTGGCGAATAAATTGGCCGTCTGTTGTGATTGCAGCTTTTCGACGTTAAGCTTTCCTTGCATTGTTGGGCGCACATTTTTTGCTGCACAGAGGCGGGTGCGTATCTTGGCTACAACAAGATAGTGGTCCGAGTCGATGTTTGGCCCTCGGAGTGTACGTACGTCCAAAACGCTTGAAGCATGCCTTCCGTCTATCACAACATGATCGATTTGGTTTCTCGTTTTTCGATCTGGAGACAGCCATGTAGCTTGGTGGATGTTCTTATGCTGGAACCTAGTACTACATATTACCATATTTCGGGCCCCGGCGAAGTCGATCAGCCTCAGTCCGTTATCGGACGTTTCGTCGTGGAGGCTGAATTTTCCGACAGTGGCGCCAAAGATCCCTTCCTTGCCCACCTTGGCATTAAAATCGCCAAGCACGATTTTGACATCGTGTCGGGGGCAGCGCTCATATGTACGTTCCAAGCGCTCATAAAAGAGATCCTTGGACGCCTCATCCTTCTCTTCCGTCGGGGCATGGGCGAGATGTTGAAGAATCTAGCTTTGATGCGGATTGTGGCTAGACGTTCGTCCACCGGGGTGAACGCCAGTACTCGGCGACGGAGTCTCTCTCCTACCACGAATCCAACACCGAATTTGCGCTCCTTTACGTGGCAACTGTAGTAGACGTCGCAAGGCTTCACGCTTACTTTACCTTGCCCCGTCCATCGCATTTCTTGGATGGCGGTGATGTCAGCCTTTGTCTTCCCGAGGACATCAACCAGCCGGGCAGAGGCACCTTCCCCATTAAGGGTCCGGATATTCCAGGTGCATACCCTTAAATCATAGTCCTTTATACGTTTGCCGTGGTCGTCATCAGAAAAAGGGGGTCTCATCCGAGGCTGTTTGCTTCTTTTCATTGGGCGGGGTTTTAACGTGGCGGGACCCAAACCCAGCGCACGCGAAGTTTTACGCCTTCTCACTTTAGCTCGCTCCCAAACGGGTGTTTGGTTGCTACCCAGAGGATACGCGGATATAAATATCCGGACGTTGTGAGCTGCGATTTGAACCGTACGCACAAGAATCGCTTCTGGCCACTCCCAGGTGAATGGCAGTCAAAAGTTTTCCACTTCTGCGCACGGAACCATCCTCCACACCATACATATACATATATCCGTCCTGTATTATAAATCAGTATATTATATATAACATATATTTTTCACCCCTGATATGCTCACATATTAGTATAAGTCCAACACATAAATACATTCATATACATTCATACATATGTATTTTCATTTTGAAGGTAAAAGCTAAGTACTTTTAAGTACATATATATTTAAAGTAAATAATAAATAATATTTCACATTATAAAAAATAAAATAGGAATTTCACAGCTCATTTCATTTTCAATTAAATACAGTCATTGCAAAATACTTTTTAAAAACTATAGTAAGTATTACTTAAAAATTGAACCCAAACGTGGTATTTTTTTAATTTAGTTGAAATGATAACATACCTTGTTGTGCAAAAGTAAGCAACGAAATTGTACTTAATTTATTTTGTCATCTACTTTTACTGATTTATTTTTAATTATTTTTTATAAAACTAAAGTTCATTTTATATCAGGCTGTTCTATATGATAAACTATACAAATAAAAGTTTGCAACTTTGTACAAAACTCATAACATTTAACAAATTTAAAAAAAGTTCATCAAAATTTCAAACCTTTTATCAGGCTTTTTAAAAACTATTTAGGTATTCAGTTTTGTAGCATATTTAATTTTACAATAATAAAGTGCAAGTTTGAAGTGTCTGAAATTTACCA